CTAATTCCGGATCGATTCTGTCGATCGCAAAAATTCGCAATTAAGTGTCTTGGATCGACTTATCGCAGCATCTCTTTGATAGAAGCCGGCGCCGGTCGTAAATCAAACGATCCATTACATCGACATTGAAAAATCATTGTTACGTTGTTGACAAGTGCATCATTACGATCGACAATTTTAAGGACGAAAGAAAGAGTTTTTTTTCTTCTTCTGATAATGGCAACAGCAATTTGATTTGAATAAACATGAAATTGATTATGTGAAAGATGTAATGCATTCAAATTGAAATTTAAATTGTAGATGCTTTGTTGGTTGCCTGATGAAAATACATTATGCACCGGATCGAAATCTCGTCAACCATAATCCCGACAAAATTAAAATCTCAACAATATGTTTTATTATTTCATTCTACAAATGAAATTGATTATGGAAAGATGTGATGCATTCAATTTAAAATTTAAATGCTAGATGTTAATTTTCATCAAATCTCCAGAAAGAGATAAAAAGTATTTAATATGACTATCAATCTATATTTTCACTTATTTTAATCTCTCTATATTTTAGAATAACATTCATGTTCTACGTTCTTCTAGAAGCATGTGTTTACGAAATACAGGCCATTTTCGAAAACGTTGTTTTCCAAACTATCTAATACCAACGTTTAATAATTAATCGTGACCAATCTATGGTAGCTACAAGCCTCTATTTATACTCATTTTAATCTCTCTATATTTAAGATCAACATTAATGTCCAAAATTCTTTTGAGAGTTGGTGTATACGAAAATACAAGCCATTTTCAAAAACGTAGTTTTCTAAACTGTCTAATACCAAAGTTTAATAATTAATCGTGACCAAGATATAGTAGCTACAAGCCTGTATTTACATTCATTTTAATCTCAGTATATTTAAGATCAACATTAATGTCCAAAATTCTCTTGAGAGTAGGTGTATACGAAAATACAAATCATTTTCGAAAACATAGTTTTCCAACCTGTCTAATATCAAAAGTTTGATAATTAATTGTGACAAAGACATGGTAGCCACAGACCTGTATTTATACTCATTTTATTCACTGTATATTTAAGATCAACATTAATATCAAAAATCATTCTTAGAATTCATATATAAGGAAATGCAGTCTATTTTCGAAAACGTTATTTTCCCCAACTTATTTGTGAAATACCAAAGTTTGATAATCAATTATGAAGACAACGTTGCAGCTACAAATTAATATTGGCGCTTATTTTAATCCGTGTATTTTCAATATTAACATCCATGTATAATATTCTTCTGGTAGCTTATGTTTACGAAATTACAGGCCATTATATAAGACGTTGTTTTCCTATTTGTTCATTAAAATGTATATGTATGTTGGGCTGCCTGCACTTCAGGCGCTAAATAAATATTTTATTTTTGTCATAGCTGGTGCCATCTGTTATCAATATTTCAAAGCTTGTAGTTCAAGCGTTTTGGCGCTGCATAAAACCCACTTCCTTAAAAACGTTATAATTTTAATAAATAAATATATAAAAATAGTACTTGAATAAGTTTTATGTTATAACTTTAGTATAATAATGTAAATGCTAATTACTTTTCGAGTTTTATGCGTTTTAATTTACACAGGCAGTGACATTATTCGGTATATTCAGGAAACAGTCTGCAAACAAACATACATATAAACTTTGATGAACAAGTAGGAAAACAAAGTCTTAGATAATGGCCTGTATTTTCGTAATCACGAGCTTCATGAATAATATTATATAGAGATGTTGATCTTGAATATACACAGATTAAAATTAGTATAAATATTAGTTTGTAGCTGCAATGATATCTTCATAATTGATTAACAAACTTTGGTATTTCAACAAATGAGTTAGGAAAATAACGTCTTCGAAAATGGCCTGTATTTTTGTATACACCAACTCTTAGAAGAATTTTGGACATTAATGTTGATCTTGAATATAGGGAGATTAAAATGTGTGTAAATACAGGTTTTGTAATTACCACAGCTTCGTCACAATTATTTATCAAACTTTGGTATTAGACAGTTTGAAAAACAACGTTTTTGAAAATGGCCTGTATTTTCGTATACACCATTTCTTAGAAGAGTTTTGGACATTAATATTGATCTTAAATATAAAGATATTAAAATGAATGTAAATACAGTTTTGTAGCTATCATAGCTTCGTCACAATTAATTATCAAACTTTGGTATTGGACAGTTTGGAAAACAACGTTTTCAAAAATGGTCTGTATATTGTAAGCACTTGCTTCTCGAAGAATGTTGAACATGAATGTTGATCTAAAATATACAAAGATTAATATAAGTAAAAATATAGATTGTTAGTTATTTAAAATACTTTTAGTGTCTTTCTGGAAATTTCATGAAATTTAAATTTTTTGTTTTTCCAGTATTTACAATGCATCAATGCAATATTCAGAAACGTTTCAGTCTATAAGAATCATGTAGGAAGCAACAATAGAATCATGAGTGCTACAGGGTTCATAGTTGTTATCCATCTTGTTAATGAAGTTATATTGTTGGTCACATTCAGCAGTTAAGGTTTCCACTATTTGCAAATGAAAACTGCTAGTAAAAAATGCTTTCCACATTCTAGAGAACTTAAGGTCGTTTAACTATACATTAGATTGCTATCAGCTCCACCTAAAATAATAACAATTGTACTGATGATTGTTGACTACTTACCTTATGACTATTAACAATTAATGCTCATTCTTATATGAAGACATTGTTTTATGTAAAATATTTTCAGAATTGTCCCTACTTAGTTGAAGTTACTGTTGTATGTTTTCAGAAGACAAATAACTTTAGTGATCGATGGCTGTTTACATGTTCAATTAGTACTTGCTCGAAGTGAAATGTGAAGTTCAGGGAAAGGTTTTCCTCACTCACACAAACGTACAATTCAAAATTTCAAATTACAACTAATCAGGAACGACCGATGCTAGGAGCTCAGATACCTCCTCGCTAGTCATAGTCTCCTAGTGCAAATCTAAATTTTCTGGCATTTTCGAGAATCAAGGTGGAGAGACTTGCGTTTTGATTCGCGAAATCCGCCAACGCATTAAAGCTTAATAACTTTCTTATTAATTGACCAAAACTAACGTATTTTATAGCAAACGAAAGCGAAAGAATTATTCTTAAGAACTGTAAATTAAAAGTTTCAAATGTATATGAACATAGCCATTTATTTAACATTTTTTTTTTCAATTTGCTACAATACCTTCACGTTTTTTTTAAATTAATCGATTACCACTCGTACTAATTAAACTATCTAATACGCAAATTAAAGAGATAACCTTTCCAATAAGCTAATGGCCGGCATTGTGCATCTACTAGAAGTTATCAAAATTAAACATTATAATTTCGTTCTCAATCCAATTAATTTTTGTTGTTGTGAATTATGTATTAATGAGCTTTATAGAATACACAAATATGATTTATTATTAATTTTAATCTTTCATATTTTGTTCACTAGGATATATAAATAATAAAATAAATAATATAAATATAAATCTAAAAATAAAAAATAAAAAAAATAATAAAAATCTATATAATGCAAAAACGCTGTTTTTTCTAGAGTTATTTTTTTTTAACTTAAGCTTAATAACTTTCTTATTAATTGACCAAAATTAATGTATTTTATAGCAACGAAACCGAAAGAATTATTCTTAAGAATTGTAAATTAAAATTTATATTATATATATAAATATAACTATTTATTTAACTATTATTTTTTCAATATCCTGCAATACCTACCTTCACGTTTTTTTGAAATTAATCGATTAACACTCGTGCTTATTAATCCATCAAACACGCAAATTAAAGACACAACTATAACCTATCCAATGAACTAATAGCCGATATTGTGCTTTGGTCAGTACATCTACTATAAGTTATCAAAATCAAGCATTTTCATTTAATTCTCAATCCAATTTGGCGAGATAATTTAATCATCGACCAGACAATTTAAAGCTGAATATCTCACCTTTCCAACGAAACTATTAGCATCTTTGTGCTGTCGTCGAGTCGCCTGCTACGAGCTGTAGAAATTGGAAAAAAGTGAATAGAATTTTCTTAAAAATCGCTGTTTCGTTGAGATTCGACAAGATTTCACGACTTTTCTTAATTACATGAAAATTATGTAACTTTTGTTCAATTTCATGAATGCGTAAATTGGCCATACTTACGAATGCTACAAGTTGTAGAAATTAGAAAAATTTGATTAGGATTTTCATTATTAACTCGAAAACCAATAATTTTTTTAGCATTTCACAACTTACGTTTCTATTATTTACAGTCTACTATATAGTTATATATCAATAAATGATCTTGCTTTTGTTTTAAATCATTGAAGGCATTCTGATTTAAAAAATATATGATTGAAAAATGACGATATTTGAGTTGCATATATTATTGTTTTTGAATGTAAATTTTAATATTTGGAAACAAATTAAGAAAGTAGTTTATTTATGCTACAAAAGTAATAGCTCAAAATTAATAAATTATTAAATGAAATAATATGTACTTAAATTCTTTTGATATTGAAATTTGAATGTTATAAGTTATAGAGAGTACACTTCGAATTTTTATGTTAATTCTAAAACCAAAACCAATTAGCATATTCTTACTGGTTTCAAAACCTCAGCGATTGACGAAGAAGTATAGAATTCGTCTCTTCGTGTTGAAACTGGATAAACATTTCCAATAGAAGCAACGACGACAAGAAAAAAAAACAGACTGTTAATTGTTTAACATCTTGGACGTAGTGAAAGTCTTGATGGAAACAGGAACAGGCCAAGGATGCGTTCAACTTTCACTAAAATGCACCGTACAAATCCTCTAATTGTATTTGGAAATGGAATTGGAAAACGGAATGTCATAGCTTTTCAAATTGTTTATTTACAAAATAAATTTTTTTACAAAGTTATCATTGCTAAATAATAAAATATATATAAAGTATACAATAATAACACTTTGAAACATAGTTGGCACTTGACGAGGAAGAATATCAAGCTTTTTTTATCATTTTATTTTTATCGTTGTGCAAAAAAGAGAGAGAGAGTGAGACAGTTGGAAGACAGGGACAGAGATAGAGAAAATATCGAAATTTGGTGCGACTAGAATAAAGATGAGAGAGAGAGTTGAAAGAATTGTGTTTTTTGTTGTTGTGGAGAGAAAAGTGCGTAGGTTGAAGTATGAAATGAAATCAGTGTTGAAGAGAGCGAAGAAGTAGAGGAAATGGGAAGTAATATCACGTTTTGTGTTTTCTTCGTCAAAAAAAAGGTGGGAGAAGCTCAGTGGTTTCCGACCTGATCGACCTGCTGCTGCAAGTTGTTGACGACCTCAGCTGGGAATTGATCTCCCAGGATCTCGAACAAGTTTATCTTCTGGTTTCCGGGAATTCCCTCGTAGGCTCCGATCTCAATTCCCTCTTGGACCTTAAAGAACATAACAATCACTTAACTAAATCCAAAAAAAAAAGGAAATCAACATAAATAAATAAGATTCCTACAATGAATTTCATAATGTAAAATCATCACTTTCATATAAAGTAGGCTATAATTATAAGAAGATTACTATGGAGCATTGCGCAACGACGAATCTTTCACCTACGTCTTCATACAATATATATCCTTTTTTTTTTGTTCATTCCTTTCTCGAAATTGATTGTACTGCTTTTTTTTTGGTTCGTCGTTGCGTAATCCCTTTCGAAATGTACGCTTTTTATACTCCGTATGAAGAGTTAACCGACCTTTTGGATCTGGGCATCTTTAGGAATGAGGAAGGTGTTCTGAGCTTGGCGGATGGCCTCGTTGGTGTAGACACCTCCTTCCTTCTGTGGATAAGCCGAAGCCAGAGCGATTAAAGCCAAAAACGCAATGCAGATTGCCCGTTGCATTTTGAAATCTACAACACAAAAAATAATAATGTTTTATTTTTCTCACCTAATTTCTCATGTATTTTAGACATAAATTAACATTTGCAATTAAATAAACAGTTTATATAATCTTAGTTCATGTAATAGTTCAAAAATTATAGAGGTAAAATGTATAAGAAAAGAAATAAAACCAAAACAACTAATTCTTACAGTTTTGATGTATTTCTAACTAATTTCTCATGTAGTTTATATAATTAACATTTGCAATTAAATAAAGAGTTTACATAATCTTAGTTCATGTAATGATTTGACAAGTATACATGTATAATGTATTAGAAAAAAAAATCAAATATAGAAGTTTATAAAATTTACACTAATTCTGTTATAATTTTGATGTTTTTCTAACTAATTTCTTATGTACTTTATAAAATTAACATTTGCAATTAAATAAAGAATATTCATCATCTTAGTTTTTCAATATAAAATAGATGTATAACATATAGAAAAGAAATAAAATCAAGTTTTCAAAATTTGAACCTTTTATAAATGTGTTCTGATATAGTTTTGATGTTTTTCTAAATAATTTCTTATGTAGTTTATAAAATTAACATTTGTAATTACATAAAGAGTTTACATCATTTTAGTTCATGCATTAGTTCATCAATATAAAAGAGATGTATAAAACATATAGAAAAGAAATAAAATAAAGTTTTCCAAAATTCAACCTTTAATAAATGTATTCTGATATAGTTTTTAATATTGAAATACTTGCAAACTACATAAACTGCTTACATAATTTTATACATGTAAAATGTATAAAAAAAGGAAATAAAATCAATTAAAAGTAACAAACTAATTCTGATATAGTTTTGATGTTTTCTAAATAATGTCTTATGTAGTTTATAAAATAAACATTTGCAATTAAAGTGTTTACATAATCTTGGTTAATGCAATAGTTCAACAATATAAAAGAGATATAAAACATATTGAAAATATAAAATTTTGTCATATTTCTGCAATTAAATGAAAAATGTTTACAATATTACTAAATAAAAATGTAAAGAAAAAAAAACAAAAGCAAACGAAATCATATAGAAATCTAATAAAACCAGAAGATTTTCAAAAAGTTAATCAAACGTTTACATATTTTTTTTTTAATTTACACTTGTAATTAATTTACACAATGTTAGTAAAAAAAACATTCAAAAAGACAAGTAAAAAGGAAACATATAGCAATCTGACAATCTTAGGAAGTTTTCAAAAGAATGAGAAAAAAATAAGATTTTCACTAGGAAGTTTACAGAATCTTAGTTCATGCAATAAATAAAAGTTCAAGAAACCAAAAGAAATTTTCATTACAATGAAAACAAAAAATTAAATAACACTTAGAAGTTTACAGAATCTTAATTCATGCAGTAAATAAAAGTTCAAGAAACCAAAAGAAATTCTCAACAGAATGAGAAAAAAAAAATAAGATTAACACTAAGAAGTTTACAGAATCTCAGTTCATGCAGTAAATAAAAGTTCAAGAAAGCAAAAGTGGAATTATTTATATTGAAAAAAAAGACTAAGAAAATTGAGAGAATAAACGAATATGATTATATTTCTTTAAATATTTATACAATTTTATTTTTTGTTACAAATAATAATAATTCAACAAAAGCAAACTGAGACATAAAACATGTACAAAAAAATAATTTTACAAAAAAAATTATGTAATAATTACTTGAATATTTGATGGAAAAATTGTAGTTAGAATACTGCATTCAAGCATAAAACATTTGCAATTCATTGTTCATTGTTTAGTGAATTATTCATCAAGTTGGAATAAACAGAATCGTTGGTAGTTTAGTATTAGTTTACAATTTAATATATTTATCTGTAGTAAAGATTGGGGAAAATAACTTTCGAATCTCGTGTTTCCATTGCGAAATACTTTTACTCTCGGTAATAACTGGTAATTAGCAAGTAAAAGTGGATATTCCATAAAATCAAAGAAATGTAAATAAATCAGCTGCAATGAGCAAAATATTTCGTAAAACACTTGAAAATATGATGAGTTATAACAAAAAAAGTAATAAATGTGTATGTGCAATATAGGAACAATGTATGACTTTGAGTATTATTTACCTGATATTTCCGTCGATATAACGTAGCAACTGAAATCACACGTAACAAACAATCGCGCGCGTTCCTCTTCGCCTTCCTTATATAAGTGGCCCCACCGTGTAAACATCCATCTCCCCCTTTCCATTTCTTTTTTGGACACATTTCGAGACGAGACGAGAAAAGAACCATCTAAGATCGGCGAAAACCTCCTTTTTTTTCTTCCTTGTCCCACAACATAAGAAAAAAACAACTTATTCGAAGACCACACAAAAGAAAAGAACCAGCAATCATACGTACACACACAAATCACGTATTGCATTTGATTCCGTAGACTTCTGTGACCTGAATCAAACATCAATTTGTATACTCGAATAAAAAAAAAAAATATAATTAAAATAACAAACGTTGAAAACGAGAAACTCTGTTTTCTTAAAGAAGTTTTGTAGCGTCTCGCATTAATTAGAAATCAATCTATTAACATCATTTTTTTTGAATTTTAAATATCCAAACAATATTTAATTTGTAAAGGTAAATTCCAAACTTTACATTAATAATATTTATTCAAGTAATCAAAACCTTAACTTAATTTACTTCCATTCGATTATTTTACTTTCATAATTATTTTTTTTAATTCAAACTCAATAATAAAGTTATTAAATTAATTATATTTCATTATAGTACAATTATTTTCTTCAATTTCAATTTCAATAAAGAAAAATAATAATTTGGTCATATTAAAATTAATAAATTTTTGTTCAAACATGAACGTGAAGGTAAAAACTTATAGGAAAGATAGAATTTTGTCAAATTTCTGCAATTAAATGAAAAATGTTAACAATATCACAAAATTAAAATTATATAGAAAACCAAATTATTGTGTAAATTTGTATAAATTGAAAATGTTACTATTTTGATTTAAACAATTCCTTTAGTGTTTATATGGGACAAACAGAAAAGTAGCAGTAAACTTTAAGAACTATAAGAAGGTACGTCGTGACCGGCTCTTCGATGATTCGGACTTTCTAATAATAATTCAATAAATTTCGTTTAAACTTTAAACATACGAATATTTTCTTATTTATTATATGTATAGAAATGAACTTCTCATCTTTGCCATTTATTTAACAATTTCATCAATTTGGTGAATATTTCAGATAACTACAATAATTGCACTAATTTATATATGAAATTTCAATGAAAATTTCGTTTAAGCTATGAATATAAGAATATTTAACATTTACCTATTAATAAGTAATTCCAAAAATAATTATAAGACTTTATGTTTCTATTCTGAAATTAATTTACCAATTTTCGGTATTTCCTTAAGAAGTTAAATTTTTTTTTTTTTTTGTAATTAAAGAAAACCAATTTGTAGTATGAATTAATACTAGATAATTCAAATAATATTAATTGTATGAATTAATGCAGGAGTACTTTAACTTTATATTCCATTGGAAATGGGCATTAACGTTAAGTCCCAATTTCGAGTGAAATCCTGAAACTGTCCAACAAACTGTAATCCATTTGAATCGAGAACTTTATCAACTCGTGCTCAGCCCTCTCGTTTCCAATTTCCTTCCACCTCAAATCTACTTTAGATCTACCGCAACTAACATTATTCAAACTTATTAGATTCACTTAACAATCCCCCTTTTTTTCAATTGCATTACAAAGTTCTCTTGTAATTCCATTACATAAAGTGATTTCAATTAAGCAATTTAAATTAAATTAATAATATAAGTAAATTTAATACAAAACTTCTTCCAAAAGCTTCTGAATAAAAAAGGTAGTTTTTATTGTATTTAATTTATTAAAAAGTACATTAATCAAGTGGTATAAAATAATTGAATTGATTATAAAAATCTTTGATATTAACAAAACAAAATATACTTTCATAAAGAGAATTAAAAAGACGATAATGAAATATAAATTAAGTAATGAGTCAATAAGAAATGAGACTTTAGAAAGGATTTCTGTTTAATTCATTATTACTTTCTTCATTTAAAATATTTTAATTAATCTACTAACTCTCCGTAATTTGCTTCATTCTGTACCTAAAAGTCATAATTTGAATGTGTCAAAAATGACATTTACTTATATAATCATCATTTTTTTCTTAAATTCGTTTATTGTTTTACTCATATCATCAATCAATAAAAAACAGTTTTCTTCACATGAATCAATAAAAAGTAGTATTATTGATACAGAAAAATTAAGACTCAAAAAATTTCTTTGTTTTATGATTATAAAAGGTGTCCCAAAATTAACGCAAGAATTAAATAGAAAACACAGTTTTCAATCTTCAGATTATGATTTTTTTTGGGGTTGCTAAGACTTTACTGCACAAATGGCGGCAAATTCAAATCTTGCGTTATTTTTTGGGACACCCTTTATAAGTAAATTTATTAGAAAAAGAGGTAATCAGTCATTAACTTGTTATTAACCCAATAAACTTCCAAATTTCACATCATTCTTCCATTGAAAGTCCTACTATTAATGTGTCAAAAATTACATGTTTTGAATAAAACATTAAAAATTATAAATAAAAATCAATTATGATTATGTAAGTATATTTAATATTAAATTAAGTAATCAATCAATAGCTTGACTTTAAAAAAGAGTTCTGTTTTATTCATTTATGTCAAAAATGACATGTTTTGAATAAAACATTAAAAATTATAAATAAAAATCAATTATGATTATGTAAGTGTATTTAATATTAAATTAAGTAATCAATCAATAGCTTGACTTTAGAAAAGAGTTCTGTTTTATTCATTTAAAATAGTTTTATTAATCCAATAAACTTACATATTTCACGTCATTCTCTGCTTGAAAATAAAAAAGAAAATGTATGTGTCAATAATGACATTGTTTTTGTATTGATTTGAATGAAGAAATAAACTAATTTAAAAAATCAATGATTATGTAAGCAAATCTAATTTTAAATTAAGTAATGAGTCAATAACTTGACTTTAGAAAAGATTTTCGTTTAATTAATTATTGATTTTTTCATTTAAAATATTTTAATTAACGTCCATACTTAATTTTTTCCTTGAACGTTCTAATTTTAATTTGTAAAAAATGACATTTATTTATTGATTGATTTGAATAAAACAATAAACTTTTTTTAAATCCATTATAATAACGTAAGTGAATTTAATCAAATTTAATTAAATGAAGTAATGAGTTGACCTTGGAAATGATTTCTGTATTACCATATTTTATATCATTCTCTCCTTGAAAGTCAATTTTATGTAACAAAAATGACATTTTTTATTGATTGATTTGAATGTGTCAAAAAATGATATTTTTTTATTTGTTTTTATTTCAATAAAACAATGAATAATTTAAAAAAAAATCATATTATATAAGTAAATTTAATTCAAATAATGAGTTAAGAAATTATTTCCATTTTCTTTTTTACTATCAGTGTTTCGAATATTTCTATTAACCTAATAAACTTCTATATTTTACAATATTCTCTCCTTGAAAGTCCTAATTTTTATGTAACAAAAATAACATTTTCTATTGATTCATTTGAATGTGTCAAAAATGACATTTTATATCTGTGTTTATTTCAATAAAACAATTAACAAATAAAAAAAAGAATTTATGATTATATAAGTAAATTTAATTGAAATAATGAGTTAAGAAAGGATTTCCGTTTTCTTTTTTACTATCAATGTTTTGAATATTTTAATTAACCTAATAAACTTCCATATTTTACATCATTCTCTCCTTGAAAGTCCTAATTTTTGTGTAACAAAAATGACATTTTTTATTGATTGATTTGAATGTGTCAAATATAACATTTTTTTCATTTTTATTTCAATAAAACAATGAACAAATAAAAAAAATATGATTATAAAAGTAAAATTACATGAAATAATGAGTTATGGAAGGATTTCCGTTTTCTTTTTTACTATCAGTGTTTCGAATATTATAATTAACTTCCATATTTCACATCATTCTCTCCTTGAAAGTCCTAATTTTTATGTAACAAAAATATCATTTTTTATTGATTGACTTGAATGTGTCAAAAATGACATTTTATGTCTGTTTTTATTTCAATAAAACAATGAACAAATTAAAAAAAAGAATTCATGATTATATAAGTAAATTTAAATGAAATAATGAGTTAAGAAAGGATTTCCGTTTTCTTTTTTACTATCAGTGTTTTGAATATTTTAATTAACCTAACAAACTTCCATATTTTACATCATTCTCTCCTTGAAAGTCCTGATTCATTTGAATGTGTCAAAAATTACATTTTATGTCTGTTTTTATTTCAATAAAATAATGAACAAATTAAAAAAAGAATTCATGATTATATAAGTAAATTTAATCGAAATAATGAGTTAAGAAAGGATTTCCGTTTTCGATTTTACTATCAATGTTTTGAATATTTTAATTAACCTAATAAACTTCCGTATTTCACATCATTCTCTCCTTGAAAGTCCTAATTTTTATGTAACAAAAATGACATTTTTTATTGATTGATTTGAATAATGATATTTTTTTCGATTTTATTTCAATAAAACAATGAACATATTAAAAAAAAAGAATTCATGATTATATAAGTAAATTTAATTGAAATAATGAGTTAAGAAAGGATTTCCGTTTTCGTTTTTTACTATCTGTGTTTAGAATATTTTAATTAACCTACAAGGTAATAATTATAAACTATCTTGCATCACCAATTTCCTGAAACTCCTAATTTTTATGTGGAAATAATAAAGATTTTTATTACTTTAAAATCACTATAATTTTTTTTAATGATTACAAACACAACAACGTACGATGAAAGCAGTAACAGGATGATATATGTGACATAACGCACAGGGGAAATTACACATACAGTGTACATAAACGTTATTAATTGTTTCATTTGCATTCGATTTAGTCGAAGAACAGAAAGTTTTTTTTGTGTTTTTCTTTTTTATTTATATACATATAAATATGTGTGTGCATGTAGACTAAAAAGCAGGCGACTTTCACTTCGAAACTTCAATTTTCGTTGCGTCAAAATAAAAAACGCATCACTGATTCTGCACAAAAAAAACGCCCTAAAATTGCGTAAATCGTATTATCTTCGTAATAAGAATAAGAAGAGGAAATAACGAGTCTTTAGCATCCGAAGAAGTGGATGAGAAATGGAAGCGGTCGAAGAAGAGAGTCTGAATGAAAGTGTCTTCCTTCGCATTCCGACACGACTCGAAAACTCGCTTTTCATTCGTCGCAGAGGCTTGAATAATGCACGAAATCAATAGTCGTCTACAATGATTACGAGTCTAATTAACAATAAGGAATAATCGTATCTGCTGTTATCTTTACGCAACTCATCGGGTTACGCAATAAATGAAGAACAACACGCGAATCCTCATCCAGAAGTAGAATCTCGTCTTCGATTTCCATTTTGCACAATATTCTTTTGCAAATTCGTGCGAGCGAAAGTTTCGACGATTTATTTTTCTATTTTGCTTCTTCTGTTATTTTTTTTTGACGAAGAGAAGTTTGGATTGTCTCTTGTTTGAGAATAACGTTTGCTTTGTGATGTTTCGTAACTGCAAATTTGATCATATTATATCATACATTGTCGAGGCTCTAATTCATTTTTGTTGTTGTTGTTAGTTTGTTTGTTTTTAAGATTTAGAAATAGTGGATAAGTGCACATTAAAAGGCGAGTTGTAAAAACAAATGTCATCATTACGTGCAGAAGCCCTTTCACTTTTGAGCCGAATTGGCGCGATTGCAGCAATGAAAACTCCGCATTTTCGCGTATCTCTGACCAATATATTGTATCTTCAACAAATGATGTAAGTGGCTTCAATGGACATTAGAAATCAACCATTATACATTACAAAATTTGTTGAATGATGAAGTTTAAACTTTTCAGTATTGAATCCAAAATAGAAATGGTAAAAAGTTACAACAAAATATATTTTCTTTGAACTACAGAAAATTTGATTCCAAAGATTTTTTTTTAGATAAATTGAAAATATATTTTCTATGTATTGAATGAAAATCTAAAATTACTAATATTTTTAAATTTATTTGTATTTTCGATTATATTCATCGATATCAAACTTAGTTTTATAGAAGAACATAGAGATTTAACTAATAATTTTGAATCATTGTCACAAAACATAACTAAAAAACTTCTTAGATTCAAATATGTTACTTAACTTCAGAATTTTATGTTTTATAATAAATCAATAAATTATAAGTTGTAGTATAGTATAGGTCGAAATCTATAACGAAATCTCGACACTGTCGGGATTATGATCGAAACACATGACAGATGTCACCTTACGTCAAATGGAAAAACTTGTAAAATACTCATAGGTACTTTTAAGGTTATATTATAAACAAATGTACGACTACAAACATATATATTGGTTTGGGTCTATATCGCAAGCTCGACAACCGAAAGACCGTCTATTGAAATCCCGACATTCAAAATCCTGAGTGTATCGAAATCCCGACGTTCGAAATCCCGGTTGTATTAAAATCCCGACTATAACGAAATCCCGAATATATTGAAATCCCGACTAACATAAAAATGTTATTGTAAAAATTTATAATAATAAAAGACACCGTAGAGATTTCTATATAGTCGGGATTATGGTAGTCGGGATTTTGACATAGTCGGGATTTCGAACGTCGGGATTTCGGTTGACGGGCTTGCGATTGCCACCGATTGGTTTATGTGGTTTATGTGGTTAAGAAACGCTGATATAGAATACTTCATATTAATTCTTGTGAACATTAAGTAAATCTTATATCTATTGACATTTATTTTAAGTTTTTGATAATCTTTTCCCAATAGAATTTTCACCAATAAGAAATTTGTTAGTTGGCTGTCGTTCTATAGGTTGACAATCATTAGTAAACTCATCTCTTGATTTACACGGTTTCGTTTTACACGGTTTTAATCTTTATCTCATTTCACACGATTATAGTGAACATATCTTGAACTTCTTCTTCTTTATCTTCTTTACATCAATTCGCATGATTTACAGATAAATTGAACATATTCCTTCCTTTTGAACGAATTATGTGTTTTGTTTTGCACGATTTTATAAAATAAATTTTATAATTATTGAATAAAATAATGTATTTATAAATAATGACAATGTTATCACCATTCAAAAATAATCATAGACAGGAAACATTGGTAATTTGAACCTTAAAAATATATATATTTAAACGATGTTTGCCAAGTAACTTATATAAGTAATTGTTCATGTAGTGCCAAAAACAAATTTTTTTTATAATATTCATGAGGTAAGTCATGAATTAGTTTATTAAAATTAAATTAATTTATTTATTGATTATTTGAGTTTTTCAACAAAACTATAGAGATTTGAAAAAGAAGTCGTAAAAGGAAATTTTAATCATTCAAGATTTTTTTCTATAATTAGGTAGTAATTAAATAAGATAGTAAATCTTATTTATAATACTTTGAATTTTGAACTATTTAGAAATAATAAATTTGATTGTTAAATCAAGTAAAGTATAAATTATATTTTCATTAAATATTGAGGAAAAGGTTGTTTTTTATTCAATAAAAAATTAAATTTATTTAAAACATTTATAATGTTTATTGAATGAGAAAAAAAAGTAGTGTTTACACACACACAGTACAATGATCGAGAAATGAGGAAATTAAAGGCGCTTAATGTCTTCTGTCCTTGACTAAACACAAGTAATAATAATATAATAATAATAATAATTAGTTAAAAAATAAATAAATATAAATCGCATATCACTTACACAAAATAATAATAATAATAAAAAATAATAATAAAATACATCTATTATACATCTTCTTATAATTTATATAGTCTTTCAGTATTTTTTAAGATAATAATTAGTAATAATTAATCGTAATTAGGTACTGAGGATTTTACTTTTCTTTTACTTGTTTTAATTTTAATTAAATTTCTTTTCGTAGATCTAGAATGTGATAAAGGTCTAAATGGGATTAAATATTATATAGTTTAATCTGTATTAAACGTTTAGAACTGGATTATTTAGATCTAGGAACGATTTCATCTTGAAGGGTTCACCACTAATATAGCCATAGAAGAGAAATAAATTACGGAATACTATATGGCAATTTCTTTCTTTCTTTCTTAGTGCGTTTCAATTTTTTTTTCTACATATATATTTATATAATATATATATTGGAGAGAAAGAGATAAAAGAGGAAATAGTATCCTAAATGTATATATGTATACGTTAAATGCTAAGACGATTATCGTTAATATTAATAATGACTTCAATTCTTGTAAGATCTGTAGTGCGTGTTGAAAAAGTCCTTCAAGATGCCCAGGATTCTCGAATCCAAGGATTGCTTGCTGTTATCCCGCAGAGGATGCCTTGCTATGGCCTCGCTCACCTTCTGAAGCACTGCGGATTCCCGTTCCTTCCCTTGGAGATTCAACGGTTTCTTCGTGGTACTAGACTCGGATTCCCCCATCAACTCCTTAAAAATACTCTCCGCCTCCTTCTGCTCCTCATCCACACTCTTCCCCTCCTTAACATCTCCAGCAACCAAGCTGATCTCGCGATCCAACTCTTCAAAAATCTTATCATCTTCCATATTCTCACGCTTCAATTTAGTTATCTTCGCGTTTTCCTCGTGCGTCGCATTCCTCTTCAATAACTCAACATCGACCATCTCCACCTCCTTCTTCTTGTAATTCTCAGTAGTAGACTCAGTTTCTAAACTACGCACAGTTTGCGTCGTTACGCCCGGTAGGATTTCCACTAAATCGGAAACGTTGAAATATTTCATATCCTCCTCGACGCTCGCGTTCTCTGTTCCGGAGTTCGTACTCTCCTCCAAACTCTCAACGGATTTCTGCGTGGAAACCAATTCATCAAAACGCTCTTCCGCGAGCAATTTCAAGTTGTTCTGCGAAAACTCGTTTATGGTGAGAGCTTCTCCAAATTCCACAGGGGTTGTAGTCTCCAAGTCTTCTAAATCGCTTTCGGCTACAATCTTCAATACGCTTTCAGGTAAAGCCGCAGCTGGATTAACTAGGATATTCCTTAAAATCTCGGAGCTGGTTAAGTTAGCTCCAGAATTGTTTTGTTGGCTGATAGCCTCAATCATTGATTTTTGAGTAATTTCAGTAAATAAATGATCGTCTTCAATATGCATGTGGCTCATCACATCGGGAAGTGGAGGATATTCAGGGTTGGTATCGTGAATTGTAGTTTCTTCGGTTGTTGGTTTCTGTGGTTTTTCGGTAGCGTTGAAATCAGTTGAATTATCGGACAATTCGATTAATTCCAAAGTATCGTTTGGGTTTAGGACTGCGTCCATCACTGAAGTTACATTTTCAGGATTCTGAGTGGTTTCTGAAGCTATGCTCGAAGCTTGACTTGTCGTTTCGTGCGTGGTATTATCGGTTTCGAATTTTTGGATCTCATGGTTTTCAACGCTGTCTTCAAATCCGCGTTGCAAACCTTCAGCACCAATAATGGTGATTACAGTTGATGGAGTGCTTGAGTCGTCCTTGTTCTTAATCAATTCTCCCTTGTCGAAGTACAAGAGTTGATCTCCTACTCGCACTAAAACTGGTGGTGGTGTTTGGTACACTTCTGCGACTTCGCTGGAATCCGATTCGACATCAGGAATAGCCAATTCGTTGCTTTCAGATGTGTTGAGGATCTCTTTGAGCTTCTCCGTTTTTATAGCCTCCTCCACGATCAATTGACCGATCTCTTGCTTTGGTGAATTTGTAATTGGGATCTCCTTGATTTCCGGTATAATTTCCTGAATGGTGATCTTCTGCGTCTCAGTTTGCACAGCTTTATCCACTTTAATCACTTCTGTAGTTTCATTGATTTCGTTCTCAGCCGTCACCTCTTTCGTGGCATTGATGATCTCCATCGGGTATTGCGTCCTATCTCCCAAGGGCTCTAAAAATTCATTCAATTAGTATAAAGCGCGTAATTATCGTTAAGTTTACAACCTCTCGGAGGGCAATGGTCGTATTTGGGACAACATTTCCCTGGAACTTGGCGACCTTCGCAATCGTTCCTTATGTAACAGGAAACTTCAGCGCATTGCACCTCACCGCCACGGCAATAACAAACTTTGCATTCGGTCCCCGGCTTTTGCTCCAACCTTTCCCCATTCCCATAAGTCTTCCCTTCGTGGATGCATTCTGAAACAGAAGCTGAAAAGTTAAAGATTGTAATCGTTCCAAAAACTTAATTTTTTCAAACTTACCGCATTGGTAATCTGGACAGCAAGTGTTAGGTTTATGAATAGCCCTGCATCCAGGTTTCTTCTGGCATCTCGTGGCTTCGCAATGAACCCCAGGAGGTTGACATTTGCACTTCAGGCAGGGTTGATCTGCAGGTACAGGTTCGTCTGCCCCGTAAACCAGATCCCCGACAACGCATACTGCAACAACAACAACAACAATCTTCAGAAACATAGGTAATCATAAGCATTACGCAATTACGCGATAAAACCGGCGTCAAGAGTTTGTTATTTGTCGCAGCCGAGCAAGTTTCGAACATCATTTAATCACGGTACTCCACGCTTCACCTTGTAACAAATTACATATTATTCAAGCAAATGATCTTCGCAACGGCGGAACAGAAACGAAAATAAAGAAAACAAACGACTTGCATACACCCAGATTCAATCTTCGCCGCATAAAATTAATTGCGTTTACGTAAACACAGTTATATCATTTATATTATAAGATGGAAATCTTATTTTCTTTTACTTTTCATTAAAAAAAATGATTATAACTTTAACGTATATCCATAACAACAGTATTTAAAAAATATATATACTTTTAATCTAGTTTTCTATAATAAAACATAATGTAATTTGTCAATAGCAAATAAATAACACTGTTATATTTTATATCTGCCTAAAGTGATGAAGTTAACTTCTTATTTAACATTTTAAACGATAATTACTGCGCAATAAGTCTTATACTTCTTTTACAAAGTTATTTCTAATATATGAAAAATTTAAAGAACATTTATATAAGATACACGAAAATCTGTTACTATTTTTTAAAAATAATTAAAACTATTAAAGTATATTAATAGGAAAATTATTTATGTAAATTAATTTAAAACTATGCCTCTATGAAACAAAATTTACTCAAACGTCGAAGTTGTCAAAAGATTACATAATATTATTATACTTTACGTTTCTTTATAATGATGATCGTAACTTCCTAAGTCATGAATTGAAGAACTATTGCTTGGTGAGACTAAATTTCTTGTACAAAACTTCAAACTTAACAATCATTTATATGTTTACATAATCTCATGCAAATTATATAACAAGAAATAGTTATTTTTTTTCATTTTCGTTGGCAATGGCTACAATTTACCATATCCATAGCAACGACGTTAAAACAATAATTGAATATAATTTTAATCCAGTTCTCTATTAAACAAATTTGACTGAAACGCTTAAAAATTGTTAAAACCGTCGTAATGAAGTCATAAGTAGAAGAATAATTATTATCATCATGATAACAGAGTAAGTCTTAATAAGTTCTATATATTTTTTTCGAAACATGAGAATTGAAGATTCACAAATGAAAAAAAAAATTATTACAGTTTTAATACTTAAAAAAAAACATTTCAATTGCATTTAAATAATCAGTTTTACGTAATCACATATAAATTATATAACATGAAATAGTTATTTTTTTTTTTCATTTTCGTTGGAAATGGTTACAATTTACCATATCCATAGCAACGACGTTAAAACAATAATTGAATATAATTTTAATCCAGTTTTCTATTAAACAAATTTGACTGAAACGCTTAAAAATTGGTAAAAAAAACAAATAATGTTATTACAAAATTGAATGAAGATTCGTAATGAAGTCATAAGTAGAAGAATCATTATTATCATCATGATAACAGATTAAGTCTTAATAAGTTCTGTATATTTTTTTTCGAAACATGGGAGATTCACAAATGAAAAAAAAAATCTAAATTTTCTCTACAGTTTTGCTACTTAAAAAATGCATTTAAATAATCAGTTTTACGTAATCACATATGAATTATATAACATGAAATAATTATATTTTTTTCATTATTGTTTGTGGCAATGATTACAACTTCCAGGAATATCCATAGAAACAACATTAAAACAATAAATTAATAAAATTTGAATCCAGTTTCCTATGAAACAAAATTGACTGACATGATTAAAAATTGTCAAAAAAAAAACAAATAATGTTATTACAAATTACGTCAATGTAGAATGAAGATTTTGAGTAGTTATAAGTAGAAGAATCTTTGCCTTCGTGAAAATTGGGTAAGTGCTAACAATTTCTGTGTATTAGATATGAGAAATGAAGATTTACATTAATAAATCTAATACAAATGTTCTCTCTCTCTCTATATATATATACATATTTTAAGTAGAAAACATTTACTTAATATGAGATGAAATAGTTATTTTTTTTTTCATTTTAAATGATTACATTTTGAATTCAGTTTACTACGTGACAAAATTAACAGAAACGATTAAAATTTGTGAAAAAAAAGAAACAAATAATGTTATTACAAATTACTTCATTGTAGAATCAAGATCTTAATGAAATTATGAGTAGAAGAATAAGAAATCTTAATAATTTCTGTGTATCAGATATGAGAATGGAAGATTTAGAAATGAAAAAAAATCCAATACGAGTGTTCTCTCTATATATTTATTTTTTGAAAGTAGTAACGAAGTAAAGTGCATAAAATTGGAATACCAATGAAGCGAAGATTGTGTGGAGGCAATTGGATTTGCTGCAAAAATTTCAAATTCAAATTGCTCGAAAGAGAGAGAGAGAGGAGAGACCCAGTGTTCTCAATTTCATTTAACGTTTTTTTTTTCATTGTCCCGTGAGGCGATTGTTCATTTGCAATGGTAAATCGTTTAGGTTCTAATAAAATGCAAATTGAATCCTCTTCAAACGTTTTCGTCGTCGTCCTTTTTTCTTTTTCGTTCGTTCTGTACTCTCGGTGGTTGAACGACCCGCCGTGTGTCGTATAGAAAGCTGTTAGGTAATAGCAATTTTATTCTTTCATACACATTCGCATAACATGGGTAGTACCACCGTCGCACGAAACCGAAAATAAGTCCCAGATGTCACGTAATGGACTCAAATTGCTTCCGATTGCACCACCATAATTCCAATCAATTATTTATTCCTAATCGTACATCATCCATGCAAATGAAACGAATTGTCAGTCAATGAAAATTGATGGTTTTCACTTAAGTAATTAACGTTGTATTATATTTTGTTTTCGTAATCATTTATTAATTTCATTCAATCGAAACTAAGAATATCCATTCAATTTTTTTTTTTAATTTTAACACTGTGTTATCTGAATTTTCTTTGGATTTCTTTGAAAACACATTAATATTAAGTTGCCTATATTTTTTTATTAAATTTCAGCAATATGTGGTACTTTTTAGTAAAGTCAGGCAATTTTAAACTTAAATTGTATAATACGTGAATTATAGTGATTTAGATTACTAAAATGGATCAATTTTCTTATATATAATTAGTAATATACAAGTTTTCTTTTCGTTAAAACATACAAAAGTATTACTTAAATCTAGGTTTATACTAACTTTGTCTTTTCAATTACAAAATAAATCATGTTTGTAGACAATATAAAGACAAAATTAAAGTATCAACAAGAATTCAAGACTGTTTCACATCTCTTTATAATTTGAATAGTGATATAAATGTGACTTAGGGTTAAATATTTACAAATTTACTATAAAGTTGTATTAGTTTTAGGGACATTTCACGTATCAGAACGTCACAAATTGAATTTATTTGTTATTGTTGATTTTTTTGTATACTAATTACCTAAAGTTATTTCAATATCATGTATGTATAAATAATGTTATAAATGATTTTTCACATAAAATCTAATGCTTTTACAAATTACCCCATGTCCCAAAATAAAATGTGCTCCAAATGCAAAAAAAAAAATACGAATAAATGTACAACTAAAGAATTATTGAAACTAATTAAAATTTACTAATTTTTATGAGTACTTTAGAAACATAGATATTTTTTCAATTTTTTTGTTTAATTTAAAAATGTTACAATATAATTTTTATAAGTTTAAAAATAAAACTAATTTCTTAATTTTTATTAACGATTCAAATCTTTAAACATAAATAATCATGTACATGGACTTTGAACCAAATCAAATTTATGTCATATTTTAGAATTTCATGTGTGAAGCGAATAAAAAAAGTTTTAAAAAGTATGTTTTCTTCTGCTTTTTCCTAAAATTATTTTTTTTTTTCGATTTTCTTTTTTATTTATGTAAGTGAATTTGAAACAAAGTGTCTATGAAACTAAATTTACTGAAATGTCAAATTCGAAGTTGCCAAAAGATTATATAATATTAATTTACATTATGTATCTTTATAATGAAGATCGTCGGTGGCAATCGCAAGACCGACAAATGAAATACTGTCAATACCGTCAACGTCGGGAATTTAAGTTCGAAATCCCGACTATCGAAATCTCGATGACCATATTCCCGATTATATCAAAATCTGGACAACCATATTCCCGACTGTATCAGAATCTTGACAACCATAATCCCGACTATATTAAAATCCCGACAACCATAATACCAACTGTATCAAAATCCCGACTATACTTTTAAATTGTTATTAATAATAAATAATAACAATTAATAATCTAATTGTATTTGAGATTATTTCATAATGTTAAGGTTTATTATGAATAATAATAATTTATTGTTATTAATAATACAACTGTAGCGCAAGGTGACACAATGTTATTGTAAAAATTTTCTATATAGTCGGGATTATGGTTGTCGAGATTCTGATACAGTCGGGAATATGGTTGTCGAGATTTTGATATAGTCGAGATTTCGAACGTTGGGATTTAGATACAGTCGGGATTTCAATAGACAGTCTTTCGGTTGTCGATATAGACCCGAAGATCGTAACTTCCTAAGTCGTGAATTGAAGAACTATTACTATTAATCATCATTTCTACGTTTACATAATCACATACTAATTATACAACATGAAATGTTTAAAGATAAACAATAATATCCATTAAATTCGCATTCGTTTTTCAATTGATAATCATATACATGGATTTTGAACCAAACCAAATTTTTGTCATCTTTTAGACTTTCAAGTGTGGGTTGTTGTCAAGCGACTAAAAAAAATCAAAAAGTATATCTCGTTCTGCTTTGTCCTAAAATCCTTTCATTTCTTCTTTTTTTTTTCGATTTAAATTTTGACCTCTAATATCCTGTTGTTAATCAATAATTTAATTAATTTATTAAATTAAAATTGTTGCTTCTTTTCTCTGGCATTTAACTTGAACTATTTTAATTTCAATTTTATTTGATTTTATTTTTGTTTAAATTCCTTTAAATTTCAATTGCTACGCTCGTTCGCTTTTGAATCCATTTCTGATTCGGATCACGGCGAGGAAAAAGTGTGTACGAAACTGGACTTCCTAATGTTCTGCCAAAACATTAATATAATTAGTTGCCGATGTGTTACTGTTACCGAATTGAAGCAACAAAACTCGCTGACTAAAAGAGAGAATGTGTTAGAAATGAACGGTTATCATATTATTAATACATTTACTTTTATTCATTTTACATTGTTCAATTCAGATACAGCAAATTTTGATTGTCCTAATTTTTATAAATAAAATTATTTTTTTCATAATATTTTTTTTTTGCTTTATTAATTAATATTTTAATTATTTTATTATAATTAAACATTAATTTAATTTGTTGGATATATATCTGTTAAAATAAATAAATTAATGAATATAAGCCTTTGAGTTTTCTTAGACTTGATTTTAAATAAAAATGTCTTAAGTAATCAATAACAGTTAAGCGGCTTATGAAAATACGTGACAACATAGTTTATTGCTTCTAAATTTTGAGACTAAGCCACTTCTTAGCAATTAACTGCATTCCACGAGAAACGCATTCATCAAAATGACAGTAATCAACAAATTTTAATACTATTACCTTGCATTTCGATGCATTTCTTCAACTCATTCATCAATAAAAATATTAATATAAAAAATATAAATTTTGTAGGCTTTAACAATTTTTCATATTTTTTTATAATTGAATGATATATTTATAATGATTATCTTAAAGACAAAATTTGCAAATTTATAAAGAATACAGTTTTTTGTTATATTAATGTAGTCTTGTCAATGAAGTCAAATTTAATGACTTGTAGTCAAAATACTTGAAAACTTGTTTACATAACATTAAGTTTTCTTGGTTTTTATGAACGTATGACTTTTTAAACTTTTTTTTATTGTAATTTTAGATGAATTATGATGTAAAATTAAATGAGTAAATAACAATAGTAATTTTATAATTAGTATTCAATTGGTCTTTTTTAATTTATCGACGTTGTTATGAATCAAACAGGAAATTACATCTCAGTAATTAATTCATTATTAACGGTCACGTGTCTGAAAACGGTTTGATTATTATCTAGTTATAACAGAAAATACGCACAATAATCAAAGTTTTGATAGATCGACGAATGACTAATTCCTTTTAGAATTAATAATGTTGTAATAAGTTTAGCACTGACAAACTTTGATATTCAATAAGTGAACCTCGTGATTTCAAATGAATATAGTTCACGTCTATGTATACATTTATAAATAAAAAAATAATTCGATGATGAAGGTGAGTTGTTCTCGAAATAACTTTAACAATGCTGAAACCGCAAGCCCGGTTTTAGCGAATTCGTAATGAACGGAATCGATTTGATGTCCATTCGCGGACGTATCGGATCGTACGTAACTAGTTTTGCTTGTGTATGTGCAGCAGTTTCGATCGCTTTCATGGATTAATTTCAATTAGCGGTCAATAACGAATAGTTTATGATGCCTGCATCATGCATTTCTATATATATATAAATCACGTAACCGGAGATGGCTAATTATTTGAAGAAAGTAAAAGCGACATCGATTCCATCTAATTTTTTTTATGTAATTTCATGATGCTCGGATTTTTGCGTTTCTTCGATATTCGCGTGCCGTTGGATAACGAGAGGATTTATTTACCTTGTGGCTGCTGGGACGCCACCTCCTGCGCTTTCTCCGGCTCGATTTCCGGGTAAATTTCCCGCCTGGTTCTCTGCAGCGTCGGACCTGTAACAGTTATATAATCGTTAATATTTTCGATCGGGTGCTGTTTTTTTTTTCTTCTTTTTCAACTGGGAAAAGAAATGGCGAGGAGTGAAAGTCGATGGTTAATTAAATACGAATAAACTTAATTAAATTGATGGCAATTCTGTCTCTATTCATATGTGTTCGTAATATTTTTTATTCCTCTTTCTGTTCCTGCAATATTAATCCAGATGGAGAAGAGGCTATAAATAATTCATTTTTGATTTAGGACGGCAATAACGCGAACTCCCGGGGCAGCTCGTGAAATTTTAAATTGAAATACTTTCTGCGAAAGCCCTTGGGTCTCTACCGACTCTCTGGTGTGCATCGCATCATCCAATTTGGGTTTCGAAGAAACATAAACCACCATCCTTTTTCCTCTTTTACTTTTTTTTTTGTTGCATTTTATATACCAATCTCTATTTTGTTTCATACCAATTTCTGTTGTCTCACATGTATATTGTTCTAGTCTTTTACATCTTTATGTGTTTTCGCATCTATTGTTGTTGTACTTATTAATGTTGTCTTTTATAATAATTGTAATTCTCACTCATACCTGTTTATGTTGTCTTTCATACCTATCGATGTTGCCTTATATACCAATATTTGTTGTTTTTATACCAATCTTTGTTGTATTTCATACCCATTAATGTTGTCTTTTATACAAATTATGGCTGTTATTTATTCTGTATTTTGTTGGTATAAAAGACAACAAAAATTGGTATCAAAATTTTTGTTGTCTTTGATACCTATCTATGTTGTCTTTTATACCAATTATGGTTGTCACTCATACCCCTTTGTGTTGTCTTTATACGAATATTTATTGTCTTTTAAACTAATGTTTGTTGTATTTCATACCCATTAATCTTGTCTTTTATAGCTAGTTTTGTTGTCTTTCATACCTATCGCTGTTGCCTTTATTACCAATGTTTGTTGTATTTCATACCCATTATTGTTGTCTTTTATACAAATTATGGTTGTTATGCATTCTGTATTTTGTTGGTACAAAAGACAACAAATATTGGTATCAAAATTTTTGTTGTCTTTCATACTTATCCATGTTGTCTTTTATACCAATTATGGTTGTCACTCATACCTCTTTGTGTTGTCTTTATCCCAATCTTTGTTGTCTTTCATACCCATTAATGTTGTCTTTTATACCAATTGTAGTTGTCACTCATACCTGTTTGTATTGTCTTTTATACCAATATTTGTTGTCTTTTCTATCTTTTTGTTGGCTTTATACCAATTTTAGTTGTATTTCATACCCATTAATGTTGTCTTTTATACCAATTATGGTTGTCACTCATAACTCTTTGTGTTGTCTTTTATACTAATATTTGTTGTCTTTATTCAAATGTTTATTATATTTCATACATTAATGTTGTCTTTTATACAAATTATGAAATTTTATACAGATTATTCTGTATTTTGTTGGTATAAAAGACCGTTATCTTCAAAATTTTTGTTTTCTTTCATACGTATCCATGTTGTCTTTTATACCAATATTTGTTGTCTTTTATACTAATATTTGCTGTATTTCAAATCCATTAATGTTGTCTTTCATACCTATCGATGTTGCCTTATATACCAATTATGGTTGTCACTCATACCTGTTTTGTTTGTATTATCTTTTATTCCAATATTTGTTGTCTTTTATATGTTGTCTTTCTTGGCTTTTATACCAATTTTAGTTGTATTTTATACCCATTAATGTTGTCTTTTATACTAACTATGGTTGTTGTTATGGTTTATACCTATTTTTGTTATCTTTTATACCAATGTTTGTTGTTATTCATACATAATTTTCGTGTCTTTGATACCAATTATTTACTTTTATATCTTTCGGTGGTTGTCATTCATACCTATTTTGGTTGTCCTGATATCATGTTTTGTTGACATTTATATTTATTTATGTTGTCTTTGTACCCATTATTGTTGTATTTATAGCTTTTGATATTGTCTTCTATACCATATTTTGTTAATGATTTTCCTACCAATATGTATTTGTATCGTCCTTTATGCTTATTGTTGTTGACATTCATACTTAATTTGTTGTCTTTCATATCAACATTAGTTATCTTTTATAATAATTTTTATTTATTTATTTATCAATTTTTCCTTTTTTGTTTCATACCAATTCGATTGTTGATTGTAGGTAAATTCCACTAAGGAAATTCATTTGGCGAATGAGCGTGTTTTCGCATGTTTCCCATGCGCATTTGGAAAGTGTAATTATTTTAATTGGCAGATGGGAGTCGTCGAGGAACACAACAAAAGGATTACGGCCAAACAATGGATGGATTTATATCCAATGAGCGGGAGAGAGAGAGAAAAAAATGAATAAATGGGAAATTAATGATAACTCGAATGCAGTGGGATGGCGATTTGTCTAGTCTAGGTGAGAACATTCTAATTCTGTTTCTGCAATAAATCGTGTACATCTAAATATGAATAAGCTTCATTAATAAGACAATTGATGCAATCTAATTACATTTTTTTTTCAATACTCTACAATATTTTTACATACAATAGAAAATTACTATTAAATATATATTTATTACTTTCTTAACTTACAAAAGTTTAATTACAATAAGTATTTGAGATACTTTAAAAAAATATTCGATTAATTTAGTCTATTTAAGTATACATAATTTACAAAGTATAAAAATAATTAATTTGGAAAAATTTATACTTTTTAGATACTTACATAATTATATAATAGAACTTTACTTGTCGCACATGACTTGTTTCTAAAAGTTGTAAGAAAAACACAAACTACGTTTCCTATGAAAATTTTGATCTAAAACTGATTGATTTTCTTAAATACCATAATTATAATGAGATCATTATACCTATAATAAATATTATTGAGTTAATTATAGAATTTATATTTAAATTAGTAAAATAACGTTGAAACCTAGTCAATAACTATTAAACTAAAATTACTGTGAACCAATACATCTTATAATTAATTAATTTCATAGAAATAAATTAATTACCTTCAATGTTAACATTAATCATAAATTTAACATTCTGTCGTTAAGTTAACAGTCCCATTGATTTTTCTAATTCATTAAAGTCTATGTTATTTTAATTTCAATTCTGTTATTGGAATTCATAAGTTAATACATTTAAAAAAAATAAAAAAGTTAACTTGTACGTTCAAAAATTACTGTAAACCAATTAATCTAATAATTAAATACTTTAGTATTAACAGCTAATTACTTTTAACGTTAGCTTTAAATATAAATTTAACATTCTGTCGTCAAGTTAACATTTTCATTGATTCTTCTAAGCTTCGAAAGTATATTTTATTTAATTACAAAATCGTTTATTCCTATTTTATGTTAATTATTTTTAATTATTTTTTATATCCATCAATCAAATTAAATAAATTCACATGACATTAGCCAATTTATATTTCAATTGCAATTATTAAATTCATACATTTGAAACAAAACAAAAAGGTTAAAGATCACCAACATTAATTTTTTTAGTAACAATTATTGATCATTATTTTTTTGTATTAAATTTTATTGCTTTTCTATAGTCAACAAATTAAAAATTATTATTGAAAATGCTAAGTTTTTTTTTATTTTTATTTTACTACCGCATTTTTATATGATTAATAATCACGCAATTCACGTGCAACATGAAGAGTAATTAAAATATCTAATAGAAAGTAAACAGTAAGTGTAAATGATAATCAATTCCCAATTGTTGCATGTCTCTTCAACCAAATTAATAATTCATTAAGTATAATAAATTGATGCAATTGCAAACATTCAACAAGACTTTAATGAATTGAAATTACCTTGTTGTTTTCCTGGTAATTAACTTTTTTTAAATTAATTACAGTATGAGATTCACGTGTATAAAATAAAATTATTTTTAGTTTCCTATTAATTATTGGTTTCCATAAAGTAACGTGTTTTGTTTTCACGTGCAATACAAAATATCCATTTTGTATTATTAATATTTATATAATTGTGAGTTTATGATTACTTGCATAACGCAGAATAAAAATTAATGTATGGAATTGATAATCAAAATATTATTTTTGTTATACATAATAGAAAAAAATCGAAATCCCGACAATGGAAATATCGACATTCAAAATTTTGATACTGTCGGGAATATGGTTCTCAGAATTTTGATTCTGTCGAGATTTATTTATCGGGATATAGTGGTACCTCGATATACAAGTGCCCTAATATAAGAGTGTTTTGAGATAAGCATTTTTGATAAGTTGGTTTAATGGCATTTCAATTAATTTTAATGGGGAAAATTACTTTGAGATACGAGCAATTTGACATACGAGCAAGGTTACGGAACGTATTAAAGTCGTATGTCGAGGTACCACTTTATTTATACTGTCGGGATTTTGGTTATCGGGATATTGATACTGTCGAGATTATAATTATTGGGATTTTCATTCTGTCGGGATTATAGCTATTGGGATTTTGATTCTGTCGGGATTATGGCTGTTGGGATTTTGATTCTGTCAGGATTATGACTGTGGGATTTTGATTCTGTCGGGATTTTGTATTGTCGGGATTATGGCTGTTGGGATTTTGATTCTGTCGGGATTATGGCTGTTGGTATTTTGATTTTGTTGAGATTATGGCTGTTGGGACTTTGATTCTGTCAGGATTATGGTTATAAGGATATTGATACTGTCGAAATTATAATTATTGAGATTTTGATTCTGTCGGGATTATGGTTATTGTGATTTTAATTCTGTAAGGATTTTGGTTTTTGGGATTT